GTATTTTAGCTTCTGCCATCATTTTTCTTAAAAATGGTAGAAGTTTAATGTTTGAAGGCAATTTGTTACACAGCTGCAATATCTGTGCTGACAACTTCCCCAGAAACAAGCAGTCACTATGAACAAGGAGTTCTAGGAAAGTGAATCCAAGTGGAAAATGTTTGTAGATTTTGTCCCTATAGAATACACTAGGAGAAATGAAGAACTGTTGTTTCCAATCTCAATGGGAGGCAAGCATCTGAGGACGTTAACATGACACTCTGGTGAAATTCTCCCACTGCATTTACCCTGGAAAATTATTCTGTATGAAGAGGCCTTGGAGGAACAGTTCTGGGTTACCAGCAAAGGCTGGATCAGAAGAAAATGATAAGAATCATAAGTGAAGGAGGGCGGAACAACGCTCTCTTTCCTCCAAGATTCCTGTTCATAGTTCAGAAGGGCTTTCAGGTAGTGCGGAAACAGTGGGGCCGTCAGATGCATGATGAGGAAAACACCTTCAAACTACAACCCATGGATCTCCATTTGCATGGAGTCTTGGCAATATGTCTTTAAGAGCAGAACATAGAAATGGGGTTTGCCCTAAAGGATGAAATATATTAAGATTATTTATACTAAAACTCCTCTCTCTAGGAAGGCTTGAAACTCTTTGAAAGTCATCTTCTGACTACAATATTTTATGTTAAAAATAATTAGATCTTATTGTAAAGAACTTCCAATTAATTATTTAAAAGTCATGTGTCAAGATTAGCTATACCAAAGTCTCCAGATATCTCCATGAACTTCTGTAGAGTTAGAACAGTCATTCTGAAGCTGTGGGGCATCACAATGGATTTCATAACTTCAGTAGCAAGTACAACAGTATGGACTGCCTATTCATGGAAGAGTTAAAAATAAAAAATAAAGAAATAAATGGCTTTATATCCTTTTTCATAACTCAGGTAGATCTCATCTTATATGCAGATCCTATCCTATTATATATACATATATAGATAAGAAAATATGCATCCCTATAATATATAGATCCTATCCTATTATATATACATATATAGATAAGAAAATATGCATCCCAGTACAACATAACACACAGAAAGGAGAACTAGAAAGAGTAAATATGGTGTGATAAGGGATAGTAGAAGGCGAGTATTTCTTTTGGTTATTCTGCAATGCCGTGTTCATCCTAACTTTATTAATGAACTCCTGATTTTCTCTCTAGCACCCTAAATGATCCATACTCTAGCATTTCCTGGTGATTACCAGGGTTCTACATAATCCTTCAATGTATGGCCCAGATTGTTTAATGCTTTTGCTACCCATATAACTCAGGTTTTCAGAGTTTACACCAAATGTCCCTACCCAACTGAACTGTCTAATCTACTCCTTGTTCTTTGCCTGGCCAATATTTCCAATCTACCAACAAATAGATTCCATTTCCACTATTTCTCAGGCTGTGTCTGCTTCTCATAACTATCTGTGCTGATCATCTAATCCCAATTACTGTCATCTTCCACCTCTATGATTTTCTTTGATTCTTTCACCATGAGGCTCAGTTTCCACAATATAGACAAAATTGTTTTCATAAGACATAAATTAAGTCCTCCCCTGGCCACTTTAAGCATCTTCCTCTTCCATTCAGCCAAAACAGACACTGTGACTAGAGCCTGATTGTCTCTGCTGTTCATCCATTCTGACATGGCTTTGTGCTTTCTCTGCCCTAAAGAGGATGAACCTTCTTGAAGTCCTTTTACCCCAGAGTTCTCAGTGATTTTCCTGATTCTATTTCTTCATTCAGTGACACAGGCTTCCTAAATTATTCTCTCAGACAGTTGTTTCTATGTAATTCTTGCCAGCCATTGTTATGTTTCTCATTTACATTATCTGGGAAAGCAAAGCCACTGAGAATAGACATGTCTGCTTGTCTCGCTATTCTATAACCCTATTTTCAATCTACTATGAACTAAAAAGTATATGTTAAATGTATTTAGTAAAAACATTGAAAATGTGTCAATTTCAACATAAAGTCTGTACCCACTTGCTTAGTGATTAATTGCAGAACTCAGAGCAAAATGAGGTCACATCCATAGCAGGCCAAGAACACAAGGTGTTTCAGAAATAACATCTGGAGTTAATTATTACTAATACTTTTGCTGGCAAAAAATATAGGTGGATTATTTCTTTTTGCTTATATATAAACAAAAAGGCAAGGGACACATTAATCTCTGATAAAATATAACATTTTTCCATAGTGCACATTTACAAATGTAGCTAGCATCCATTATGCTGAAAACAACTTCACACAAATACTTACATGATCATCTGAATCTCTGGATTAGATTGTGGCATATGTCCTAATTCCAATGCCCTCACCTAATTCACACTACTCACAAATTAGTGAGTCCTCACACCAGAGGAAAACCTTCCTGAATCTTTCTCACAAGTGACACTGGACATCCCATTAACTGTCCTTTGCTGTTGCACATGACACCAGCCACCTTGCCAGGGCACATGTACACTATCAGGAGTCAGAAGTCTGGCAAAATAAAAAATCTTCATCTGTAGGAATTCAGCTTATGAAACAGTCTATTGTAAGGCATAAAAGGTTAGTGTGTTAGTGACACTTGTTCAGGGGGTGACTTTCTGTGATCCTTTAGAAAAACCCAATTTTCAGCAATATGATCCCAGCAAACTTTAAATTCAGACCTCAAAGGCAGTATATATTTGATATTTTCTTATAACTCTACAATGAATCCGAAGACCTGAACAATTTGAGATCTGCATAGTCCTTAAGATGAAAGAATGGGATGCAATCTGAACAGGGGCTTAAATAGTAGGATGAGTTCCCTGCAATACCTTAAAAGCAATGTAGCTTTGATATCTTTGTAACAAGGATGAAGCTATGCTACAGGGCAATGGATCAGTAAGGCCTTCTCCACAGGGCTTTTATGAGCCTCTGTAGACTACAATCCTTTGGTTGTGTGCTCTTAGATCTGTGCACTTATGGAGACAATAAGCAGCAGTTATAAGCATATTAAGCACAGCAGGGTTTCTTCATATATGTACACAAATCACAGATGATTGAAAGATGATAGACAGATATTGATGTAAATATACAGGTATATAGATATTGAACAGTTGGATTGCAGCCCACTTTATATGGATGCATATATGTTCAGACGACCACACACAATGACCACCATCCTGCTAGATGACATACTTCTCTTCCTACAATAACCACAGAGCACCTGGTACACTCACTAGCTCTTTTGTAACCCACTTTGGAAGTCATGGAGATTTTGTTGTCTCACAGTACCTGATTATATTATTATTATTATTATTATTATTATTATTATTGTTATTATTATTATTGTTATTATTATTATTATTATTAGCACTCAGGTTCATTATCAGTTGTATTTTAGTTTCAAACAATGTACACCTACAAACTCGTCATATGCTAGATATTACTAGGAGGTGTCACTTTGAAAAAGGTACTCACTCTGACAGACTCTGACAGTCTTACTCTCACTTTAGCTGCTGTTGACTTAGCTGAGGCAGCATAGCTCACCCTTATCCCAGGATTATCAAGCAATGCTGGATGCACACCAGGAACTAAAGATATGTGTATTAGACTCCCTGCAAACAACCTGAAGGAATCCGCCACCATGGCTTTATTGTTGAGTCAAGATGAAACTTGCGTCTCGTACTAGAACAACTCCTACAGTGCAGTATCTTCATTTCTCTATACAATCTTACTTTTCTGTACCCTAAATTGTTTGCCAGGATACTCAACCACAAATCCTCACTCTGTAGTCTCTTCTTTGGGAAACCTCCAACTCAGAAAACAAAATGACAGAAGCATATAGGGAAAGTCTACTTGGCACGTGTGTATTGCAGTTGCTAATATATTGACTTTGAGTCAACAGAAACTCAGGAGGTAAAACAATATCCTAAGTTTTCTTGAAGCCTCATTAGCTTACCACTGTCTAGATCAATTTCATCTGCAATGTTCTCCTTGTTGCTGTGTGGAAGAAAATCCCCAATCAGAAGTAAATTTGGCAGAACGACTTTCCAGTGAATGTTTGAGGTAGTCACTGATGGTCTGAAAACTTCTGATTCTGAGGACAAGCAGACAGACCTCCAGGTGACCTCAGCCACCCTGCTCAGGTGAAGGTAACTTCATGCTTTCCCTGTTGCTTTAGCTCATGCATACCTTGCATGCAAAAAAAATACTCAGAACTATTTCGATTTTCTGTAATATCATATTTAAAATAAACAACTATCTACAGAAAGCTTTGACTAAAATAAAGATATACACATATATAAATTATTACAAAATTACTAATAATGTAAGTAATACTCCTTCCTACACCAAATAACACTAAACATCAGATGGAGGTGTAACATATTAATCCAATTAATAAAGAGTTTCTGTGAGATATTTTTGGATAATTATTTTTATATGGTTCAGTTATTAAGCATTAAAAACAACAATGCATATGACATAAAAGATCAAAGAGAAGTGTTTAATGAAAACCCACTAAGGAGATTATATACTTAATATGTAAAATGTGAATAAAGAAATGCCAGAAATATAGATTATTTACTTATATGCTATTTGATTAAGGATAGTGCTTCCTCTAGGACTAAGATAATATAGTTCTATGATAGGTAATTTTGGCCTTTGTGGTCTGATATGGTTTTCTTTAGTAGTTATAAGCCTCAAGGCTTTAGGATGAGGATGAATATACCCTAAGAGGTTCAAAGCTGAAATGTTAAAGGCAACTGCGTGCTTTCCACAGACACAGATTGTCCACCATACCACTTGAAATGACTGTAATTGATGATGGCTCAACAAAGTATTTCTGGAACCCTAGGTAAGAATTATTTCAAAGATCAGTTTGGGTAGGATATTAAATACAATCACGAAAGTTACCAAATATTTTGAAAGTAATCACATTTCATTTCAAGTTGAGTATCCCCATAAAAACCCAGCCAGCACTTACCTGGATAACGTGCTTCAGTTTATCAATGATCTGATTCACCACAGGATCAGCTCCTCTGACTCTGACTTCAGGATTTCCAGACTGGGCTTTCATTCCGTTTCCAGCCACACGTTGAGCATAGCTGACAGAGTGAAAGAAAGAGTTATGACTTGAGACCTGGTCAGCAGCAGCCTTCAGATCTGCTTGAGACATTTGGGCTCAGAATTTCATTCTCTGGGAATACACATCAGGGCTGTGCTTCTCAAAATATAGATGGATAAACTGTTGTACAATTCTACTGAGGTAGGATGTTTATAGTGAAAACAGAAAAAATGGATTTGAACTGTGTTTAATAACATGATAAAAAAGGTGTGTGTGTGCTCAAGCATGTGCGCACACACATACTCTCTCAAGATGTTAATTCTGGCTAAATTACATATGTCTACAACCACATTGTCCTCATAAATTAATTTTAGAAGCATATAAATATGTATGTGCAAATATATGTGTATATATAAAGACAAATATATATTACACATACATATATATGCATTTAGATACAAAGCCAAAATAATTTACTTTATAATGACCTAAAATCCACAATTTTTTATACATAGAGGAAATAATATACTTTCAGTAAGTCACAAACATTAGTAAGAGGATGATGTCACAGGCAATAGAACATACTAGAATGCTACCTTCACCAAATGATAGTAATATAATAGCAACTTACTACTCAAGAAAATATTTAAATTTGTAAGTCCCAAAATATATCGGTTCCTACTCTATTCAACATTCTGTACCAATAGATTAGTCGAGAAAGGAGGTACAATGCTTGACCTCACAATGCTCATTACCAACTTGGAAATATAAAATGCCAAGGTCAATTAAATCACTCACTGGTGCATTCATTCATTACATTTTTTTACTAGATTTCAAAGATACCTAGTAGGATTCAGCCACATGATTGCACTTGTTTTCAGCAGTATAAGGTAACCTTATAAGCCAACCTAGCAGTCAAATGCACCACTTTGGGGGAATAGGGGAGCCCTGCACATAGCAACTGTAAAACTAGTTAAACACAGGTGATAGGTGGAGAGGATAGTGTAAGCCACACCTTCTAAAAGCTGGCTGCAGGTGTGCCTGACCACGCCTGTAAAGGCATGGTCAAGGTGAGGTCAGGATGATGCGTGATAGAGTTTTAAGGGGCTACAAGGCACATGGGGGCCCCTTCTTTCTGGCCTTCCTGCCTTGCTGCCCCTAACACACTCTGGCTTGCGTTTGGCTGGTGTTTTTCTAATAAAGGATATCTTATCCCAAGCTCCTTTTATTTCTTAATAGATAGGCACTAAAAACATGGGGCTGTCTGACTGGAATCAGAAATGTGGAGGAAAGCAGGAAAGAAAAAAATATTAAGTGAGATGCTAACCCAGAAAATATTAAGTAAGACTGGATCTTCACGGAATGCCTAATGAGATTTCTGGAACAAAGAATAACATTCTTGAGAGGACAATGTAAAAAGCACATGGACAACATACATAAGGAAGAACCCTCAGGCCTCTGTAGACAAGGTACAGGGGCCAGCTGCTGCTAGGAGCATCTATCCTCTGTGAGTAAAACCTCCTCTCGTAATCTGCTTTTATGTTACAACAATAAGAAAGCAAAGGGACTTCTCCACGGCGATGTTCACATTATTTTACCCATATTCCTTCCTTCTTTTTGAAGAGTTTGTCACAACTGTTAACATGCCTTCTCCAAAAAATTCTAAATGAAGTAAAAAAAAAATATTCCACTCTTACAAGCACAGCCATATGAAATAAGTTTAAGGAATTTCCATCTGTAAATGAGGATTAAACAATTCTAAATTGCATTAAATAACAGAAACTTTGACTTTGATAATACTAACTAGATATGAATAGTACGATAATCTGTGGCTAGCAACTGTTTAAATCTCGCTATTTTCAAAACAATCTGGAACTCATTTTTTTGTGTGTGCAGCCACAACAGCACTTGGCAGTGCCTGCCCAGTATGCACTGGGGATTGGGAAGCATTTGCCAGTAGACAGAGGCAGAAGGAGTGAAGGCTACTATTCTTAACTACCAAGGAGCCAATTCACTTTGATCTTTTTCAGCACTGCCTAACATACATTGTTGTCTCAATGTTAAAAGCACATTAACCTTTTGGCTCCTTGATTAATATGTTGAGAATTAAGAAAGACGATGGCTAATATGGGTAAATAAATATTGTCAGAACACCATGCAAAAAAGGAGTCCTGTACGGAGAGTGCTTGTGAGAAAACCCTAATAAAACAAGACAAGAGACTTGTCACAGATGTTTCTTCAAAGATTAGACTGTGGTTTCATGCCCTCCCCAGGTGTAAGGGATATGACAGGAGTGAATTTGCTTCAGATTATTCATTACAACTGACTACTGATACTTGTTTTTATGCCTGTATGGAAAAACATGTTTCTGTCACATGCAACTTGTCCTTGTGTTTGTACCCTTTAACCCTCAAAGTATGAATTGTCTGATGCTCCAAATAAAGTTGACTATTATGTGAGTTTAATTTGCTTCATTTATAGCTCCATTCTTCCTGGTCCCACCACCAACTAGATCTGTAAACAAAGTATATAACTTAATAATTGTGATTCATGAATTTCTTTAGTTACTCAATGTGGTGACGGTCAATTTACCATTAGAATTCTGTTCAGTGATTTTGAATTTGTGTTTAATTGATATAAAAAAAAACAAGAAGCCTAGGATTATAAAATTATCTGCTATTTCAATAAAATGTCTATTTCTACATCTGGCTGTCAGTTACGAGAGGTGGGATGGGAAGGCAGGGCCAATGTTTGGAAACAGACCTTCTCCAAAAGCTAAATTTGTCAGAGGACTCTTTGGAGCCCTTGATAAGTCTTCCGCATAGCTGTTGCTTCTCTCACTTTCACTCTGAGTCAGACCAGGAAGTATTTAACATGCAGTGTTGGGCCTTGGTGGTAACCTGAGGAATTGCATGTTTTTCTGTGTTTTTATTACCACAATTTATGATACAACTAACTATACAAGTCCAGTTACAGAATCATAAGTTCAGCTACTCTATTATTTAAATAGTTGAGTTACCTCCTCTTATTATTATTTGGATTGTAAAAACATTATAAATGATATTAAATATTAAAGTGGAATATGATTTATTGAGGGCAGGTTTTTCTTGTTTTATAAGAAAAATGACAATCTGACGCCGTCTAATGTTCACATTAAAATGTTTCAAGTACAGGAATATTTAAAGACCAACTTGTTCTTATCAACAAAGATAAAGGCAAGCACATGCACACCCCTCTACACACACAAAATGCACATACACACATACAACCCACAAACACGCATGGAACATAAACACACAAACACATATACTTACACACACACTAAGACACACTGCAAAAAAAATGTTGATTAACAAGACTTAAGTTTGTGTTGGGCACTTAAGACCCAAATAAAATGTTGGTAAGTCTACGTAAAGTGGCTGTATGCATGACTGACATTATGAGACAGAATTATGGGAATGACTAGGAAGTATTGACTAGACTCCTGAGTTGGCCAGCAATTCCTATTTGAATTCCTACAGTCATAACCACTGACTGGCAGATACTAATTTTGTAGAATGCAATATAATTAGACTCAGATTCATTTCAGAATTATAATACCTTGATATATAGCTACCCTGGTTGATAATAACACAATTTGACTCTGGGATATAAACAACTTAAAATGATCTAACATAAGTGTGTTCCACAAATTTACTGGTACAGGAGTCAAGGCACATTGGTGATTCCAGATAAGTAACATACTTGATCAGGTGTTTGTCTTCACCAAAACTGCAGTATTTCCAACAGCTGTTAGAAATCAAAAGTGGAAAACCAGTTGCTGGTGTTATTTTTGTTGTTTCCACTAAATTTTTGCATGACTGATTTTGTATCTTTATATTCCTTTCATGTCTAGAATCTTGAGTGTCAACATTGCTATAAGATAAAATTCTGGTTTTACAGTTGGCCCAATAAATGTGTTGCTATCTGTATACCTGGGAGGAAACACAGGCTATAAAGTATACTGTAGGTATTCATCAATGAGTTCCTTGCAAAAGAATAAATTACTTTCAAACTCTCTCTTGCATCTCTTTCTGTTTCTGATAGCAAGTATGATGTAAATGCTGGTGATTTGGCTGGAGAATCCCTGCTTATAGTCTTGGGTTATACTGAATACCATTGCTGAGTGCTGTTCTCTGAACATTTGGTCTATACAAAAATTTTCTCTAAATGAAAAGTCCTAATCTTTGAAACTTTAGCCTAAAAAGAACTCTTATGACTGAATTTATGAGACAGATTTACGTTAATAACCTTTCATGGTAGATTGAGGCTCACAGAACTTTAGAGAAAAAAGACAATGTAGAGACAATTTGCAATGATTAAACTTTATGGTTTCAGATCTTTAGTAGTTAAGGAAGATAACCATTTTCAATCTATGAGCTAGTATTTATTTAGTTTATTTTTAAGTTATACATGTTAATCTAATTATGAGCATTGTATCTCTGATTTTACTGAAGTAAAAAGTAAATGTAATATAGATTGTATGTTTGGTATTGTTATTTATAAATAACTCCTGTTATAGATATGATATTTTGTGATAAGTTTTAGATGGTTATAGTTAATATTATTTTTTTAAAAGTCAATGTATGCTTTACTTATAATGAACTTTCAGCATACCACTGCAATAAATCAATTAAGAAAATGTGCATTTAAAAAGATTCAGAAAGCATTAACTCATTAAAAAATGTGCATGAATCAGACTTCAGCCTCACTTTGTTTGGCAAGGCATGCATCGCTGCTTGCCAGGTTAGCCAGGAGAACCACAGGTAAGCAATTTCAGAACGGTTTATAAAATAAGTAGCTGTGTGAACCAGAAAGAACATATTTCATCACAAGAAGCATCTGTCCATTTGGAATCAGCAGGAAGCTGACACTTCAGAAAACATTACACAAGGCTATGCATACAGTGACTTATAAAGAAATATTATAAATATATTGCATTAGTTAAAATTAAAAAGCAAACTATAAGTCTAATTTATAATTACCCTCCTTGGATTCAAA